TCCTGGCTGAATCCAGCACACAAGGAAATCAGGAAAAAGAGAATCTTGTTTTAGATCACTGTGAGACTTAATGTTCATGCTGAACTATCTGTGTGTGGGTTTCCGATACCGCATTAGACCTTCTGAAATGTGTAGAATTCTGGAAAACTTCCTTTAATTAAGATTGCTTCTGTTTTCATATTTTACGTCTAGACTGACTTCTTGGCCATAGAGATGCGCAAAGGCAAGGTGAGCTTCCTGTGGGATGTGGGATCTGGTGTTGGACGGGTAGAGTATCCAGATCTGACCATTGATGATGGGTTTTGGTACCGGATTGAAGCCTCTAGGCAAGTATATATTTCACTTCCAAGATTTGGTTCCTAAAGAAAAAATAACTAGATTTAACAAGTTCTGCTTCTAAACCACTGTCCTCAAGTTGGCATGCCTCAGGTTTATGTGGAATCGTTTTCTGCATTTGAAACATCAACTTTAAAAAAAAAAAACTTTTTGTAAAAAGTTCATGTTATAAATAGGAGAAGTTCTGGTCTGGTTTAAGGAAAACTTTTGAACCTACATCCAATAGTACCAAAAGTGTATACACTACCATCACCATTGAAATGTGAATTGTTCTGTGTCAAAGATTTATTTTCATCACATATTTCCCCTCTAGCATCAACTATCTATGACTTCTTATATTCCCTTCTGTTTATCTATCACTCTATCGATTCTCTTCAGCTAACTTCTTTTTAAAATCTGTTACAGCTTTTGGCACTCAGATAACAACTATTCTTTTCTCCTTGAATTTGAAAGAGGAGCAACTTTTCTGAATTTCTAGTCTTGATGCAGTACTGCAAATGAATGGTCTGCCATACACCAGTATCTTGATTCTTACTCAAAACACAGTTTCCATAGGTGGGATGTCTCTTCAAACTGGAGATATTTTTAAAGATACAGTTAATGAAAACTCAAGGATGAAAGTTAAACAATACCTTGTAATTTGAGATCAGCTGTTGAATGCTTTTGAACTTCAGAGATACAGATACTTTAATATTCAAATTCCACATTTGTTAGTTGAAGTTTACATTTTCCATTCAAATAATAAAGACATGATATATGGTTTAGTAATTACAGCATAAGTATTACATAACTTTATATCCTTTATCTTTTACTTCTGAACAGATCTTAGTGATTTAGATATCATTTATATTGCAATTCGATACGAAGTTGAGGAATTCCTACTGCATCATTATAGTTAATTTCATGTAGTATTAAACATAGAACTGATAATATTGTCAGAAAATGAGAGAAAGAAGGAGAAAGAAAACAAAGTATTCTAGTTCCAGTTACAGCCATAGCTCTCAGAGGAGGAAATGCCATCCAGTTTAAATAATTTACTGAAATCGCAGAAATCAGCCATTTAGAGGAGAGAATTAAATAAAATTATGGTACTGTCTCCAGAAACTGGCTTAATGAAACCTTATTGCTAGGAAAATACAAACTGGGGTACAACACAAATTGTTGAAACCTTCACCAGTTCATATTATGCATACTAAAATAGCTTTGTGATACAGTAATGCCAGACTTTCATTTACAAGAAAGCTGCTTCAGCAGAATATGGAGCCAGGACATAGTATAAAAATTCACACATCCTACAAAAGCACATTGTCTATTAAGCTGGTTGTTCTGGAGATATAGGGTGTGCTTACCATTAGTTTTGAACAAACTGCTGGATCAGCAATTTAGAACAATTACAGCTGCACAAATCTGAAGCACAGAGCAGTGTTTAGGAGAATTACATTGCAGAGACATTAGTTGGATTTGTGGGATTAAGATGAAGAGCTCAGGACTGATTTTGCATTCTTAAGGCAGACTTCATAAATCACGTAACCTAGTAAAGAATCTTAAACTCTGAGCATTTTAGTCCATTTGATAACTCCCCTCTGACTCCCTTCATAAGCTGTTGTAGAGTTTTACCTATTTCATTCCCTCACCTTTTTTCTGTGAACTTCTGCCCAGTTCTAGACACAGATTTTTTCAGCAACCTGACAGAGCTGCCTGAACAACTGGAACAGGCCATCCAATTAGAATAGGAACATAAGATAAAATTCTGGCCTTGCTGAATTTTGCTGTAGATTTCAATGGTGACAGACATTGACACACAAAAATAATGATATGGTAGGTTTAAAGGTTGATAGCAATTCTTGATCAAGGATCCCAAATGGCCTTGAAGAAGGTGGATGTGGTAGCACAGAGGTGGTGAAATTCTCAAGATCACTCAGCATACTGAATGAAATCAAAATATGAAAAAGCTGACTATTGATTAGTGATCAGAGATGTTCAGTTCAGTTAATGTCTACCCCAAAATTTCCAGTGTGTTCAGAATAAACTGATAATTACTACATCTGTTTTCCAGGGACATAATTTTTCGTCACTTTTTTATTAAAAGTACGCCAATACTGTGCATTTTATTGTATATGCAGAGATTGTCATGCAAATATTTAAATTTTTTTATGGAATTGAAGTAAAATTTATTTATTTCTATAGTAATTCCTATAGGAATTCCCTATACTTTGATGGTACAGGAATTTAACTGATTTCACTTACAGAGTTATTTACCTGCCTACAGAGGCAAATCTGATTGGCATCAAGAAGTGCAATCAATCAAAGTATCAATTAACAAAGGAAAATCTCTAGTAACAGTATGTGACAAAATGATTTAAGGCATGTTTAAAACATGCCAACAATGTCAATTCTGTGAAACAGTCCAAGGGATGACAATATTTTTGAGACTCACTAGATCAGTGAAACAATGTCACTTGAAATCAGCAGGCCTCAATTAGGAGCAGGACCTGATCAGTTGTGATTTTAATCAAGTGTGAATTAATTATTGCCATTGTTTTAATAATTAATGACAGAAATTATGCAGCACCCTTCCTTTGAGGACAAAGGACACCTGAATCACAAGTTCCCTGTAGACCCATCCAGCCCAGCTCAGCAAGAATTCACTTTTAAACTACTGTGGCAAATCTAAGCTATATTTTCCAATGAAAATTTTCTTTGCTCTCAAGGGGTCATGGCGTTTCATAATTTTTTTGGATAATGAGCCATGTGCAGGTACATTCTATAATCCACCCGTTTTGCAAGATACTGAACAGTATCTTCTAACCTGATGTCTTGTTATGCACAGGATAGCAATGTCTTTTTGCTGTCAAGTTAGCCAAGTTCTTTCTTCAAGCTCAATTGTCCTCCCTAAATAAAAGAGAATTATTTATGGAAGACACTCCACTGTTAGCATTTCAGTCTGTTTGAAGATGAAAGACATCCATGCTATTTGTGACATATTAGACACCTAAAATGTGCCAGTCTGCTCAGTGACTTCTGCATTATTGCACCTGAATGTTTTTAAACTGGAATCTTGTTTTCAGCGCAATACAGATTGAAAATGCCAATGACTTTCTTTCAGACAGTATTAAACTTCAGTATTAAACTACACTGAGAACGTTTATCCTTTAAAGGATTTAAAGAAAATGTACTGCTGAAGAAACTATTAACAAATGGTAAATTCTTTTGTTGTTGTTGTTACCATCAGTATTTGATATGGTTCATAGAGGACCATAAGGAAACATCCTTAAACATAATGGGGTTTGTGCCTGTTTGGTAAGTAACCTGAGAGGCCCACTGGAGAAAATGCAAACTCTGGGCCTCACAGTGGTGCAAACTGAAGTACTTAACATGATCATTCATTTCAGTTCAAATATAATCTAATAAATCTAGAAATTTAATTTGGAACCTTGCCTGCATCATTTGTTACGTCAAGAAACATCTACTTAAAGCTACTTTCATTACAACAATTTAAGAAATGCAACTTCTTTTTTTAGTCAGTGAAAATTCCACTTCATCTGTACAGTGAATTTTGTTCAAAAAGGATGTTGAGGTGAGAAAAAAATAACGGTTCTGTGATCATGTCTTTAACTTATGCAGACATGGAAATCTGTTCATTTGTATCGAAATGGAACATAATCAAAGCAGTAATACAAGCCTCTATTAAAGGTTGTCATCTAAAGTAGACTTTTCGTATGTTTGGTTTAACTACTAACTCCATATGCTTTTGTTATTTTGTTAAAACCTCTAGGACTGGAAAAAATGGCACAATATCAGTGCGAGCTCTGGATGGTCCTAAAGCCAGCATTGTGCCAGCCACATTCAATGCTGTCTCTCCACCTGGATATACCATTCTGGATGTGGATGCTAATGCCATGCTGTTTGTTGGTGGTTTAACTGAAAAAATAAAGGTAATGTCTTCTCTGGTTTCGTTATTGTTTATGGTAGAAATAGTAAACTTTAATATGTTGGTGTCAGGGTAGTAGATGCTTTAGTAGCAAATAGTACACCTCCACTCTTGAAAAATGATTAGGATTTGCCTAAACATGTATGTGCACAGACCTGAAGTTTCTCTGCCCATGCTGTTAACTTCTAACCAGAAGCCTGGCTGTATTGAGGCAGCATTTGGCCCAAACAACTAATTCCTGCGATGCTTTGCCTTGAACATATACTGCTGCCCAAAAAGGCTTCGATATCCATGACAGGAACTCACTTCTGTTTCCATACATTCCTGGTCTCCTAACATTGTATATAACACTATATTTTCCCTTGCATTCAGAGGTTTTTCTTTGTCATGTACTCACAGTATCAGTTCCTCCTTTCTTTGCAGTCCACTTTTGGCATTTATGCTTTATCTTCTTGGGTTTTGTTCCGCTGCCCAAAAAGGCTTCGATATCCATGACAGGAACTCACTTCTGTTTCCATACATTCCTGGTCTCCTAACATTGTATATAACACTATATTTTCCCTTGCATTCAGAGGTTTTTCTTTGTCATGTACTCACAGTATCAGTTCCTCCTTTCTTTGCAGTCCACTTTTGGCATTTATGCTTTATCTTCTTGGGTTTTGTTCCTGTTTTCCCCCCATTCTACCCTTCTTTTTAACTACTGCCTGCACCAGATCCCTTCTTTTTACCTGTTCAGTTTTCTGGTGGCTGCTTCTACATTGCTTAACGTAACAGGAATGAATAGAAGATCTATGCCAAATCAAACAGATGGAAATCTTTCAGCAAAAAAATTTCTCCCATAAGTAGTAATTAGCATATATTTTCCAGTGAAATTCATTAAACCACAATTTAGAAGTATTTTGTTTCTGATCAACATTTTGATTTTTTTTAATGTTAACGTCACCAAAAATCATCATTTAAAATTAAAAAAAAAAAAAAGAAATAACATTGAGACTTTCCCAAACAATGAGCTCAAAGAACTTTTTTCTACACTAAAGTTTGTATTTGTCTCAAGTGTTGAAATAGCACAATATTTTATGGTCCAACTTTCTAGTTTTTAAAAAGTTCAACTTCCTAGGTGGCTCTGGTTTGGGAATACGTGGATAGACACATTCCTTTCTTACAAAGAATAGTGTGGCTGCACATTTCTAGACAAAGACAGAATCAGAGGACACAAGAGGAATAGAAAATGTAGTTTCCACTTGCTTTAAATCAGTGTCTTGAAAGACATCTTTGTGTTTTGGAGCACAGTCAGGTAACTTCCTTTTAAAACTTGACCAGGTACGTAACTCAAGGCTTCTGCACACAAAAAAGTAAAACTTGGCAGGTGTGCACAATTGCCAGCTAACTTAACTGAGATATGTCTGACTGATAAGCATTCCCAAGAACAGGAAAAAATTTCATGGGACTTGAGCTAGGAAATGACAAGTCAGTGTATTAGTAGAACTTGTCTGCGTGCTCTGCTTTATCTGAAATGGATCCAGAAAAAATCACGAACACTTTGTAGTTCTGAAAATGTAGATGCAATGAATCTTGACATTTATTGTTGAACTTTAAGGGTGTCAATAACTGCCCTGCACATTTTTTTTATGCCGTGTGATTTCATATGGGAAATAGGAGAGGAAGTCAACTGAAGAATTTCTTGGAGAATCGCATATTAGACAAAACAGAATTTCTGTTACCTTAAACAGCCTTAAACAGGGGTCCTGGTTTGCTCTCTACCTTCCAGCTTTCTGTCTAGGGGCAACTAAAGGTGTTTGCTTTCTTCTGTTAGCCATAAACAAGAACCCTTGAAAAATATTTTAAAAATTAATTAATCTTCTGTTGCTACAGCAGAGATTAGTGACCCTTACAAACCCAGAATGGTCTCACTGGCTTTCTGTACTCTGTCCCTTTGATCTGCTTTTTCAGAGGGAATGGAAGTAAACTGGAAAGAGGTACTTTATCTCCTACACCTAATAATTCTTCTCCGCATTCTTTCATTCTTGGTTTTTTGCTCTGTGGGGTAAGTTTTAGCTTCTACTGGGGTTTTTTTCCACCAGTGACAAATATAATTACATCAGCATTATGTCCTGTTTTTCACTTGCCATAATAACTCAGTTGAATAAACACTTCACTGAGTTGAATCAGGACTGTTCAGGGCTTGTAGTGCTGTACAGCTAGAGTGACCAAAAGCCCAAGCAACCACAAGTTTGTTAGAGGCTATAGGGTTGTGTCTGCCCACCTCACTAAAATGCTCACTAAACTGCAGGCTCAGGAAGACTGGCTCAAGTAACCCTTGTGAGAGCCAGAATTATGATTAAGACAATAGTTTCATCATCCCGCATTTAGAAAAGAACATGAGAATTTGATTTACACAATATTTAAATTCCATTGACTCGGTTGAGACCCTAGAAAATGTGTGGTCAGGTGGTTTTAGGCTTCATGTCTTTGGGTGTTCCCCTGAAGAAGTCATGAAAATTCATACTCAAATGCCAGCCTAAATCCAAAACTTATTTGAATTTTATTTTAGGTATCACCTTTGAATTACCAGAAGGCAAGTGGAGCGAGTACTGAAACATTGTAATACCATCTATATTTGCATAGCTGTAGAACATGAAACCTCCCAAACCAGAGCTTTCACCTGAATTCTACTTTGAAAAAAATACTTATGTTAAGAATCCAGAGAATCAAAGATAATACAGAAATCCAGCAAAAATATCTGTGCCACAGCATGAAGTAGTCCTGTGCCTGGCCCTAATTTCCACAGCAAAGCTGTTACATTAGACTAACAAATATGTGTGTTTTACTTGATGTCATCCCTAGGTTTAAGTGTTATAAATATTTTATTGTTAAATAAAGAGCTCTTGGCAATACAGCCTGAAGGTAGAAGTGAGACACCCTAAGTGTAAAGAGAGATCATACGTACTATTTGAGTAAACAGGCCCCAAAGCTGGTGCCTACCTCCCAATAAAAGATGTCTCCACTCCTAGCAAAGGTCATCTCACTTAAATTGCACTGTAAGAGGTAAAATTAGTTTGAATTTTAAGAAATTAATATTGTAACTACTGATCTTACTTCATGTTTATTAGTAGTAATGTTTATTTGGGGTATGTATTTGCTATTTAAATAATAACAGTATTTGAATAATACTCAGTCAAGAAGAGTTATTTAACAATGAAGCTTCATGAAGTGTGTATTTAGGAAAAAAATAGAGATTTAGCATAATCCCTATAGGGAAAAGGATTCAAGGGCTCTTGATGTTTCAGGGGAAACAAAAGGACCTGCAACACAGTAACACTTCAGTCTGAACACTTGAATGTTTTTCTTTTTCCCTTTAGTTAGATGCAGTGAGGCAGAGGTGGGTAGTGAGCACAATTCAGCACATAAAACCATTTGTGGATGAGGTACGATGCTGAACAGGAATTATGGATACTGCAAAAGTCTGATGCCAGAACAGCCATTCTCAACTTCAGTGAGAGTTCTCCAAGTAATTGCTGGAGAATTCTTCTCTTTTTTTCATCTTAGTCAGGAAAACCACCCTGAATTTCCTTTCTTTTTTTTTTTTTTAGCTCCACATAAATAATGACAAGGGCAGAGGTAGGTAGGAAGACAATGTATTGTAAATTTGGTATGGATGGTGTACTTGCAATTCAGGGTCTTAAACACTATCAAACTTGGTCTGTTCAGACACAGTCTGTGAATCAGAAGATAAAAGATAACTTTATTTTTCTGGGAATTTTTGTCATGATGTGGTACAGTTGTCAGGCTCAAAAAATGAAGACCTTAACTGAGACTCTTTTCAAAAACCATGAAGCTGTTGGGGCATTTATTAAGGTCACTGGCATTTTTTAAACCTTTGTCTCAGAAATCTGCTTTTCCATACTATTGGGTTTTGGAGTGCTTTTGACTTGTCCTGGGGTTTTGTCCACATCCCTTTTTGTATGCCTCTTTGTACTGTACTCAAAAAGAAGGCTCATTTTCAGTTTTTAAAAACATCTTTCGTCTGACTTGAATAGAAGACGATGACACTTAGATGTCATGAATTTCTCAGAAGTGATATTAAGTTCATACTTGTTGCTAATTAAAACCTTCCCAATTACCCTGGTAAACATCACCAGCACATTAAGTCTTTTGAGTCACACTTTTCCTTGAATATTTTCAAGTTGCACTTCTCCATATTCTCTTGCAAGATCTTAATATTTGTAATTGCTGTATGGAAAACAGCAGGTGCTTGTCTATCCCAAATAGCTAAGTATATAGATTTTCAATCAGCTCATATTGATGAAGTGAAAGTTAAATGAAACTAGGTATTTTTAGAAGGATAATTTTGAGCTGAGTACTCTGTGTACTGTCAAATATTACTACCTTAATCACAGTACCATACCATGATCTAATGAGCATTACCGCACGTGCGTGACCCTAGCTTAATGAGTTTTGACGGAATATATGTTGTAATCGCTTTTCCATCTGCACGTTTTTCTGCATCCAAAATTCAGCATGAACTTTACGTGTGTAGACAGTTGAGTTCACAGTTGGTCTTTTATCTGGGATGATCTGCTCCATTTCCAGGTTTTTGAGCATTGAGTACAGTAGAAACATTTTGCTTACTGTATTGCAGGCGAGATTTCTCATAGTCCATTTTCTGTGAAGCCCTAAACAAAAATCCAGATAGAACTGCAACAGTGGGAGCAGGAAGCTCTCTTAATAGCTGGGAAAGCTGTCAGTGATGTGGAAGCCAGGGCAGTTTCGCATTCTCCAAGAATCGTTCTGCCTAGGCCATCCCCAGAGTCTCAAATAAATGCACTTTTCCACCCCGGCTGATAAAGTTTGGTTCTCATTTTTGTTGATGAAGTGTTTGAATTATTATTGTTTATATTTAAAATAATAAGCATCTTCTGGTATTTGTCATTTTCATACCAGTTTTAATTTCAGACACTTTAGGTCACTTCGAATTGAATTCTAATGGGGTTTGTGTTTTCTGTTGCAGAAGTCAGATGCTGTAAGAGTCACCACCTTCACTGGCTGCATGGGTGAGACCTTCCTAGACAGCAAGCCCATTGGGCTGTGGAATTTCAGGGATCTCGAAGGTGACTGCAAAGGGTGTGCTGTCAGGTAGGTACCGCACTGACTGTTTCTCATGCTCCTTCGTGACCCCGTCTGCGGTGACACGGCGTTCTCTGCTAAGCAGCAGGGACTTCCACAGCAGCCATCAAGTTCCAGTAGACAGCTGTGGTCTGTATGCAACACTGAGAGTGGTAGAAAACATGAAGTTAAGTTGCATTACACCAAGAGGGGAAGCACCCAATCTGGGTTGTAAATGTGGTTGGTGTCTTAACAGAATTAACATGGTGTAGTAGTGCTGTGACGGAAAGGCTCCTGTTCACAAATAACCAGGAGTAGTCAGAACATGAGAGGGCGAGTTCCACAGTGGGACCAAGTCTGGCTCATGGACAGCTGTGGTGTGGGTGCCTGTATGTCTTACGCAGCAGGGGGCAGAGTCAGGTGCCATTCAGCCATCAGCGCAGTGAGCAGAGATCCCACAAGAAAAAAGTGTTTCCATTCTCAAAAGACATTGGGAAATCCTGTACCTGTCCGTGACCTGTGGTTCCAGTAGGGTAACTGATCTATCCAGGCAGGACCAGGATTCACATAGGTAGGCTCAGAACACTCTTCAGGAATTTTAAAACAACATAAACTACTTCCTTTCCAGATGTGTCCTTCTCCTTAGTGATCTGTGATCTACATTCCTCTTTCCCATCAAACCAATCTCACTTTCTTGTGCCATGTCTCAGCTTTAAAACCCGTGGGTCCTTATACAGAGGCCCTACCGGATACTACAGCGCAGAAGACACACTCTGGGTCTCCCACATTCTTGTTCATGACTTTCTCAGTGACCTGCCACATGAAAGCAGCACTGTTCTTAGATGCTCCTCGTGTTTAGTGAATTTGGCAGTGTCAGTATGTGACACTGAAGCTCGCGCTTCATTAGGTAAACTAACTGTAGACCCCGTCAGGGAAGTTACGATTAGGCAGGTTTTGAAACTAGCAGCCTACTTTGACAACCTGCTAAGGCTTAGCCCTTTGAAAGTGATGGAAATTCCAGTTCTGAACCAAAACAATTCTGGAAATACCAGAGGATTTCCTTGACTAAAACTGTAGGCCCTTGGAACTTAGGTAGACATTTAAGGAGCATGATGATGCATATATGCATTTCAGTACCACTCAAGTCCTAATGGAAATGCCTAAGCCTTTTTGTGCTTCTCTGGCTGAATTTAATTTTCTTATTCATTAGTGATAATGTAGATCATCTTGCTTGGGGGGGAAGGGGTAAAAAAACCACTGAATTTGAGATTTGTAGAAAACTGTATTAAAACTGTGTATTAAAAGCTCCCTTTTACCTTAACCCATTATTCCAGTACCAGAAAGAGTCCTGCTCTCCAGAAATTCTAATTGCAAAAACTTAAATGTCGCTATGGAAGGTGAGAGGATGACATAAAAGATCCTTGTATGTGTGTCAGAATAAATGGGAAACATGGTGATGGCCAGTATTGTGCATGTAGGTCTCTTGTTCAAATTCAGATGCTCTTTTACATTGAGGATTGCAAAATAAGTCATTACAGACCATAAGATACATGTGACATTCCTATTCCATCTTCCTCCCAGATATGCTTTCCTGTTGGACAGCCAGTGAGCTGACCTTACAGCTTCACTTGTCAGAACAGGGGTTTGATATGAAATCAAACTAAGTTCAGGAAGACTACCAAGAGGTGTCCCCTCACTCCCCTATTCCCCCCACTACTTTTACTTTTAACCTCGCACGGCAAAGGTAAATGGTTGGAATTACCCCTTTCCAGTCCACAGGTGGCAGATGGTGAAGGGACAGTCCAGTTCGATGGCGACAGCTACGCCATGGTGAGCCGCCCGATCCGCTGGAACCCCAATATTTCCACAGTCATGTTCAAATTCAGGACCTTCTCATCGAACGCCCTGCTGATGTATCTTGCTACGGATGACTTGGTAAGAACAACCACCTGATCTCTACGCTCCGTACAGGTTTCATGCCATCTTTGCCATGGCTGGATTCATCAGTCACTGATTACTGACTGGGGAGCATTATGTTAGTCTGAGAATTCCAGCTTTTCTGAAATACTGATTAATTTTCATTTATCCCATATGTTTACCTGTGCAAACAATGTCAGTTGTGATGATACATTCGTAGTTTAAAATAACAGTGTGAGGGCAGGGAGAATATGGGAAGAGGCAAGTCTTAGAAGTCCTACTGATATAAAGAAAATGTTTGTGTTTCATGTGAGTGGTATTAAGGGGGAACTGAATGGTGCAACAAACAGGATGTGATGGTGATGACGTTTTTAAAAGGTCTACAAATGGTGCCTTTTACAGATAAGATGGAGAGTAGAAGCATTAGTTAGAAAGCTGTTCAAGGTTTTCATTCAAACACACTATCAAATATGTGTGGAAAACGAGGAGTTATTTATGAAAACATCTGGCCAGACCCTCACATGAATCAGGAATAACTCAGCTTCAGCATCTCTGATCCAAGTCGTTTTGCATGCCTGAATGGGAAGAGAGTCCTTTCCTTAGCTGTTGCATATGGGCCAGAAATTATGTACAGCAGTTCTCACTGATAACTTGAAGAATTTGAGAAATTCTGTGAAATCTGTGAGAATTCTGTGAAAACTCACTGGTTTACAAAAACTGTGTTTGTGTAAATCATTCTTATTTCAGATTCCTGTGTTTTGGGAAGAATTATCAGAATTGCTGGAATTTTTAATTAAAGAGGAGGATGCTCCTCCTGACTGACTATAGTCCAAGTTAACATTTATTTATTATAATGAAGTACTTACGTAGGTTTTCTAAATAATTTTTATAACTTAACATTGAAAGTATAATAATGTAATTCTTTTATATGATTTTGTATAATTATTATCAATTTATGTAGTTTTCTAGAAACAAAATGTTTATTTGAACTTCTGAAAAACACTAGGAGCTGAAAGGCAACTGGTTCCTGATACAATTTGTCTTATAAGATATTGTCCCACTGTATAAAAACTCTGAGGATGCTCTTTCCAGTGATGCATGGATAGACATGCATAAGCATCTAGAGTACTGAGTTTATGAAATGTTTTGTTCTTAACATAAATTTATGTTCATGTATATAACATTATTATCACAGTTTTGACTAAGTATTCAGCACATGGTAAAATATTTTCGTTCTCCCTAGGTCTGAACACAGGTGGAACTGGCCATGAGCAAAATGATAATTAGACTTAAAATTCCTCTGGTACATACATTCATGTCCTGGGTCACAGTTCCACCACTACTCACTTAATGCTTTTTATGCTATGCAGTTCCCTGGCTGTTTGTTTTGCTCTTTATATCCTGCCAGCTCTTTTTATGTAGATACTGCAGCGTATACCACTGTTCCAGTCAGTCATCTCCAGTTACTGCTCAGATATTGGTGTCAGTGGTTGATGAGAGTAACAGTTCACAGTGTTCTGTTGCTCCCTCGGTACAGATTAGTCTCTGGAAACCTCTGTAAAACACACCTAGTTTACATATTTACTATTCTTGTTTTCTACCTTGCAAGTTTAAATCTAGCTGAGATATGTAGTAAATGCGCTAACTGTAGTACAGACATATTACTCAAAGCTAAGTATTAGTTTCAGGTAATTATGTGTATTTTTGTTTTCAATTTCAAGAAATTAAAAGCACAGACAACCCATCAAATGACCAGTTAAGTTGTTAGCAAAATTCCAGCCAAGAGTTATCAATGCAAAGGAGAAAAGGGGGAAAAATAATTTCTTGGCAGCAGACTTTTGTACATTATAGTCCTGGGCACTAAATGCCTACGCAGATTTTTTTTTTTTTTTTTAAAGCTTGAAAGAAGTTGTCTGTTTTCACCCTGAAAAAAGACAGTGTTTACTTAATGTCATATGCCTCTCACCAAAATGAACTAGAACCATGGGTATGTAATCCTTTTCATTAACAGAAAGATTTCATGAGTGTAGAACTCAGTGGTGGACGTATAAAAGTCAGCTACGATCTGGGATCAGGTACAGCTTCTGTTAGCAGCAACCAAAATCATAATGATGGCAAATGGAAATCATTCACCTTGACAAGAATTCAAAAGCAAGGTGAGTTCCTGTGGTGGCAACACCATGACTTTCCCAGTTACCTGTGCAGTTCAGCTAACCATCTAATCATGGGGAAGATGATGTGCAAAATTGCTGGAATTACGAAGTTCCAGTGATTTAGCAACTTTTGCTTAGATTACAGATGTGATGTGTTGCATGTGAGTGATTGCACTGTCAAACAGACCTTTTATGAACAGGTAGCTTAATTTTCAGGCATAATTCTGCTTTACAGTTGCATAAATTACACTCTAAAATGCTTCTGAGTGGGGAAAAAAGCAGCTTTTTCATCAGTTCCCTGATGTTGTTCAAAATCTTAAAACAAACCTATGTGTGTTTTGTTTGGACAGCAATAGCTTTCATGCTGTACAGTCCTCTCATGCTCAGCACATCCCAAGGCAGTTAAAAAGCAATTACTTCAGTATTCGTAGTACAGTATCTCAGTAGACGTATCAACAACTGTTTTATATTCCCTAATGATATGCAGTGTGCCATGATCTGAATCTGCATGGAAACAACTGGGAACATCTTCAAAAGCGCTACTAATCCTTTAACCTGTTACTGGTACAAAATGTGAAGTGGTGGGAATTGATGAGATCACAAAGAAAGCTGGCTATCGTGCTGGCAAAATGACGTGGTTGTTTTTCTTTTTAATCTAGTTACATGACTGGTAGAAACTTACCTGAGCCAAATTAATTTTATTTATGGCATCTGTGACGTTCTTTGTGCCCTTGTGTCCTGAAGTCTTACTGCATGCTGAGTCTGCAGGGTCACCGTGAGCCCCTGAGCACACTCTTCCTCCTCTGCCCTGCGGTTCCTGACCTTCGCACCTCAAACACCAACCCACTGTCTTGTCATTTGGCTGAATTTGCAGTCTCGGGAGCTGGGTCGCTGGCCAGAGTAACTCAGAGCTAGATTTGCTCCACCTTTAGAGGAGGATTGCCATGTTGCTTGTCTTAGTTCATACTTAACTCGGGAGATATTAAGATACAATAGTGTCACATAATTATAATCTGTTAATACCATCCAAACATATAATGTGTTTGTAAAGAAGATACAGGTATAGAAATTAAAGGAAAATTAATCTGTTTACAGTAGGTACAGCAGGTAAGTTTATCCCCCATACAGCCCTCTTTCACTCCTGAAAACAGTAGTTTGTTTTCAGGTTTTGCACATTCCTTCTGTCTTTTAAAGCATTTATTTAGCTGGCTGCTTCTACAAGAGACTTGCCTGTGGGGGGAGCTTCTATCAGAGAAGACTCTACTTCCCATCCTCCCGTCACTCCTTCCTCTCTATGGATTATACGTCTGGCTCTTCTAGCCAGTTCTCTCTTTGAAATCTCCAGAGGTTGACAGGTCTTTCATCTCCAAGCTCTCTCAATTCCGTATTTAGCCAGAAATCAGGCTGGTCAATGTTTTAGTTAAAATGAAGTTCATTTCATTCCTTAGCTATTGGGGGTTGGGAGGGGGGTGTAGGCTATAATCAATCTCTTGCATTTAACTGCCTGAATTTTTAAAAAGGAAGGTGTCGTGGTTTAATCCCAGACAGCAATTAAGTGCCACACGTCTGCTTGCTCATCTTCCCCCTCCTTCAGTGGAAGGACGGAACCAACCCTTTCTTTGCGTACCTATGGTACAATATCCCTTTCTTCCTTGGGGTCTGCTCAGCTTTTTTCGCTGTGTCTCGTCTATCTCATTGAACTCTATATTCTGTATTAATCCATACATTAAAAATATACACGGAACAAGCTTTTAAATAGGATGGTTGTATGTAGCGCATCACTGACTCCAGATCGAGATTAGACATGACAGCAACTGACTGCTTTGGGTTTGAAAATGGTTTAGAGTGACTGATCACCAATCTCTAAGGCACATAATGACAATGCTTAACAAACTTTTACACTAAAAAATCCTGTTCAAGTGACAACCTTTGGACTGAAATCACAAATTACATGTAAAATGATCTCTTCTGTCTTGAATTTGTCCTGAAGCATTAGCTCCAAATTACATTGACACAAAGAACATACCAAATTGAAGCAGATTTAGAGAATATATATTAAAAAAACATACAGAATTGCTATGGCTTTTCAGGTTGTTATGGGAACAGGGGAAAGTGTAGATCGCTTCCCCTGCCGATTATTGACAATTTGAAAATCCAGTGTCTTAATTGCAAAATACCACGCTCCTTGCCTCTCTCCTCACCTGCTAACCCTCCAAATAGTTCTCATTTGGTTTCTTACGTTAAGACATCATTGTTTGTGTCTGATATTTTGAAACATCTCAATCTCTTCTAGCCAACATATCAATTATAGACTTGGATACTGATGAAGAAGAGACCATAGCAACAACTTCTACAGGCAGCCACTTTGGGCTCAATTTAAAAGGGCATGAGAAAATATATTTTGGGGGATTGCCAACCCTGAGAAATCTAAGGTAACGTGGCTCAAAGCAATTTATTTACCTTTTTTTTTAAGGGGGTGTAAATGCAGTGTAATCTTATTCTCTGTATTTATTTCTCAAGTTCGCTTGGAGTAAGTGAATGGCGAGTTCCCAATGTACCTTATATTGCCACAGCAGACCGACGCTTTGTTTGCTCATGTTGTGCGTTTCAGTGTGTCTCACACAGCTCACATTGTACACAAACCCAATGGAATTAGCGGTAATGGTGCAGTACGTCTTTCAGATGCTGTGTAAGAACAATGATGTAGCTGCCTTTTTTAAGTATTTTTTTAATTTGATGAATAATATTTGTGACTTCAGACTTACAGAAATGGCTCCATTTCTCCACAAAATGAAGCACAAGTGTTTACCTTGTGCATGAGTAGAAAAATTGAACTACAAACTACTACTCATAGGATTACTGTTAAATGGGTATGCAAATTTTTTCCTAATCAGGGTCAGTGTACTTTCAATACCAATAAAAATACTGTGTTTAGATATAACTTAAAATTATTTGTAGACATTATTTCCTGGATTCCTTAGATTAAATTCCTTCTGTATTCAGAAATTGAAGAATATGATACAATACTAATGATAAACTTTAAGTTAAGCTTTAAAACAAATACTTGAATGTAATGACTGTATTACATGGTTTTAAATAGACCAAAAAACTTACTCAGTGTTTTAATGAATATTCAGCAGTTTTGCAATTACAAGAATAGGAGAATTGTCCGCTACAATGAACAGATGAGCAACACAGAAACAGGCCCATTCATCTACGTCAACTTCAACTACGTGGCACAATGACAGCCTTGAAGTGGTCTTGCGCACAAGAAACTTGCGATTAGTCCGCAGGCTGTTCCGCAACTAAAAGAATGGACATATTTGTTAATTTATTAGATTAATAACTGACCTCTGATGTCAAATCGCCCAGCAATGAAAAGATCTAAGAACTGTTTTACTCATGAAATGTAACGCTGTATTATGTAATTGTGAAATCACACCAGTGCCTAACAAAATGTCTGGAGTGATTATCTTCCAACAAATCCTTTGTGGTTGCTCACAGGGTCAGTGTAGCACAGCTACTTGGACCTATGGTAACCATTTTGCCTACAGCTATGATTCATTAGTCACTGGGGCAAGATGAATGTTATGGCAAATTAGAATCAAAAATAGTGAAAGGGGCATTAGGGCAAAGCTGAGCTACTGCAAACAATAGACAGCGAGGTACTCGTGACTGTAATTATCAGGTGGTGTCACTTCTGCCAAATTCTTTTACATGGTTTGCTTTTACTCACGACCAAGTATAGCAACGAATTATAAAAGCTCTCTGATATGTTACGTTTTAAGGTAGCTGTTTGCAGAGTAACCCTGTTAATGACTATAGCGTGATAGTGTATACAGAATCTCACCATCTATTATGTGTTGTCTGTAAATGCTGTGTATCTGCTTCACTGTGAAGTATTTGAACCTTGCTAATGAGTATCATTTGCTACAATTAATTTAATTGTGATTATTTTTTTTCCCCCCCTTTGGTCTTTCTCTCTCACCCTAGTATGAAAGCAAGGTAAAAATAATCAGCTTACTTGCATGATTTGCATGTGTCTAGTAAGTGCAGCTTGAAAGCCCCGGCAGCAGCGCAGAAGCAGCGTGTGGGCAGCGTTTATGCCAGCTGTTATGCTAAGGCTGTTAATTCAGCGAGTCGCTCCTGCTGCAACAAGCAAAGCTGCTCCCCAGTGCTTGACACCGTCACCTTACATGCTGTGCGCACACCTACACCAGCGGCTTCTGTTTTCTTGGCACAGCTGCTTACTTCAGCTCTGTTTGGTTGTGACGCTGTAACGTCTCGGCAGCAGAGCTACGGCGAGCTGTGCTGCCCGGTTGGGCCCTGACCTCCAGGCTGTGGTACCGGGTCGGGTGAGGAGCCCCGCGCTCCAAGGCAGCGACGTAGTTACTGAGGAGGGCACGAAAGCGAGGTGCAGATTTTTGTGGCTTTTGCCACTTCAAGAAGAGGGGGACAGGAGAGGTCACCTCTTTCTGTTTCCAGTTGCAACTATTTGCATCCATTACTTCTGATTTGATCTGATCAGATATGAACTGAACTCCACTGTTTGGCAGTTTAAATCTTGGCATTAATTAAAAAAATGCAGCTTCCACCCCAAATCCTAAAAGATTATTTTCTCCCAAGCTCCAGAAATCTTTTCTTGTGTTCCCTTGAATTTGATCCTTGTTTGGAAAAAAAGGAAAATAAAAAGGCCAAGAACTTATCCAAGATCTGAATGAGCTTGGACCTTGTTCTGTATATTTTGGGAGGGGAAAGAGGGAGTATTAGGAAGACATCAAGCAAGTGTTAAATGTTTACAAGGACGTAGAGTTCATATGGGTTGAGAATTACAAGGTAACAGTGACTGCCTGTTGCGTGAGGGCAGTCCGTAACAGGACAGGGCAGGAACAGGAATGGTTTCTGGATGGCAGAGTCAGAAGACTATGGGCACTGCTGGCAGTGACGTGGCAAAACTCTTATACTGCTGGGAAGATGAGGGGCTGTGAAGGAACTGGGGAGAAGATAGTAAATAAAAAATTAAAAATGAAAGGTGACCATAGCTACGTGACTGTAACTAAAGCAGAATATGGATTTAGTAAGCCAGGTGCTCACTTTTGGGGATGTAAATTTACCAGAGAACACACCGCGCTTGCTAGGATGGCTGTAATGCAAAGAATGGCTTTCAGTATCAAAATGTGCAGCTGAACGCTATCTGTGCAAAATGGCTTTATTTTGTAATTAATATTCTTTAAAATCTTTTCTTCCTTTCCAGGGAGCTGAAATATTTGGGTTTTACAGTTGGGTTTTTTTCTCCCCACAGTTTTAACTCCATATTTATTTCCAAATCCATTTTTCTTTCTTTGAGGTGTTCGTATTTTTCAGATATTCTACTAAACACTCCTGGGTGATATTGTGAGTGAATTAGCTAGTGCTCTTTATCTTTTTGGATTTAGTCTCTATGACGTGAATGGCAACTTTTTTTCTGAAGTGACTTTATAAGGCTTTTCTTCTGGCAAACTAGTATAGATGTTGCCAGCAGTTATGGTCTCAGTCTGGTGTTCCCAGGCTTGGGAAATCATACTTCAGCATTCTTATTTTTTTTTTAGTATCTCCTGGCAACCAGATGATGAGCCAAACCATGGAACTTTGCAATTCTATTACAGCATTTTTCTGTCTTGGATGGATAGTTAGGTTTTGTAACAAAACAAAATCTTTTTTTTTTAAACTGTCTGAGAAGGTCAAATATATTGCTGTCACAAGAAAATATGCAGCAGTTTTCATAGGAAAGATACTGGGAATATAAAATACATAGAAAACAAATGTCAGTCCATATGAACATAAAGAATTCCTAAAGCATAAGAAAAAAAAAATAATGAAAATTTCTTTCAGTCTTTAGTAAAGATGTTTGTATGCTGCTAAGGTTCCTTGTTCATTAGGATATAGCATGAAAAAAGATGAATGAAACATCTGTCTTCCAGTTAAGGTCTCTCCTTATTGTTATTATTTCCTAGCTTACATCTTTCTGCTTTGTCTACGGAACAACTACTTTCTTATTTCATAGCTCACTGCGTTTAAACACCAAAGGTGACAGCGCTCCTTAAAAAAACCCAAACAAACAAAAAACCCCCACCAAAAAAACACTAAAGAAAATAAATTAAAAATGGGAAAGAGGACTGTTGTCAAATGGAGATGAGATGAATCTCCTATTACACCTTTGAGTGATGGAAGGCAAAGTGCAATATGTGCTGATAGGTGGTAGACAGCAAGATGTATTTATTGGAGTGTATGTGTGTATTTAAAAAAAAAAAATCAAGCATCTGTGCATCTGAAAGTGCATGTGTGTGCGTCTGGCTGACTGTGTTCTCCCTAAACTCTGTTTTTTGAAAATACATTGTACTTCTAAATTCTTTTTAGGCCTGAAGTGAACTTAAAGAAATATACAGGTTGCCTCAAAGAGATTGAAATTTCAAGGACGCCGTATAATATATTGAGTAGTCCTGATTTTGTTGGTCTGACCAAAGGATGCACACTAGAGGTTAGTCTGACTTTCATGTATTTTGGTCTTAATGGGTGTAAATGTTTCCTGGTTTCTGATTTTATGGCATAACATATTAATTGTATAAGGCATATTCAGGAACACATAGGGACCTAACCTGAAAATCAGAACGGTTATTTTTAAGAAAAAAAAAAGATATTAATTAGTCTGATCAGCAAGTAGACTAGTTTTTCAGATCCTAACTTTGTGGACAGTATCCCTGGACAGTGGTGATATCCCTATCCCTAAAGGGTAGGATTTTCTGAAATGCTTAGCAGTGCTCTAGCTCTGTTTCAGCTGACCAAAATGGGAATTACTGACATTAATGAGGATAGAATGAAGTACTGACAGTATTGCAAAAAACTTAAAATATTTTGATGCTCATAAAATCAAAGGATTTAAACTTTTTTTTTTTTAATTGTTATTATAAAATCATTCACTACAGAAAACCTGAGGTACTTTGAAAATCACAGTACATTTGGAGGCAACTGAAACAAAGTCACCTTTAGGGTAGGAATAATGGAGCACTTACTGTTATGAGCTACCACTGAGCTGGAAGGTGCATTTCTAACTTATCACTAAGAATGTGCAAAATTGGTGTCATTATTTTAACTTTGAATACAACTCAAGTCTATTTATTTTCAAGTGTTTCTTCTAATTAACAGGCTTCTGATGCATATAAAATGCAAGGAATCTCAAGTTTGAGAGAGAATATAGTAATTTTCCAGGGAAGTGTATTCATATATATATAATAAAAATCTTTCCAGTGATATTTGCCTCCCAATAAATAGTTTACATTTCTTCCCTGGAAATGTATGCTATATAAGATAGTTTTGCAAGCAGATGTATGATCTAGAGTTCCATATCAGATAGCACTGCAGCAAATCCAAATGAGCTGTTAAACAGATGCTCTACAAACATTGTTCTCCAAAACGTTGAAAATTTCCTTTGAACAGTGACTGGAACCTGGCCAGGCCAAAATAAAGATGAGCACTCTCTTTTGCTGTGATTATCACTTCTCTCTCTGGCCTTCGTCAGGGCAAAAAGCACAAAACAGTGAGACTCTCAGGATATTAGACTATACGGATCTGTCATGAGATGGCCATTTTTAAGTTTTCAGATTTGTGACAAAGCTAAACGATAATCACCCAGATTGTTCAACTGCTTTTAAATCTTCAGAAAAAAAAAATTCTACAGAAGTTCATGTTGGTTTGCATTTATTATAGATTCTCTCCTGAATCGGAAAGATGGGATAGTCGTGTTGATTTTCTTCTGTTGCTATGAATCTTAGAAAGAATTTTGGTTTTCATGTTATTTTGTAACTGTTGAGGTTTCAGAATTTGAAATCTAATTGGATTAATTGTTTTGTTGGGGAATTAAATAAAATATCTACATTGTACAAAACAGGATATGTAGGATAACTGAAAAGAAGCGAAGCAACAGCAAAAGGTAAAGACTGGATATACACTCAATTATTTAAATGCCCTTGGATTTCAGAGAAAGGCGAACATCATCAGCAGTGATTTTATCTAGCATAATCTATTATCTCTATACCTGAAACCAGTTCTAATGTACTGAAAAAATGTGAGTTATTTTAGAAAAAGTCACTGTTTCCATAGACTGGTCTTCCCCAGCTGGAAGAGTACAAGAATTGGTGGTGATTACAGAAAATCTTCAGGAGTATGCACTGATGTAACTCTTTAAATTGTGTTAATGGCTACCGATGTCGAAAGAGCTGGGCCATGTGCAACCAGGGCTTCATTTATGAGCCTGAGTCATCAAGAAAGCAGTGGTGCTTAGTGAAGCAATAACAACTGATTAATGGAAAGCATTTTTCTGGGCACATTTGACAAGTAAAAGAATCTAGTTTATGTTCATATTGGCCATTGTTATCTATTGTATTGATTTAAAAGGAAAATCTTATTGTATTAACTCAATGGATATAAAAAAACCCACCTGTGAGCAGTTATTTTTAATCCAAGAGGATATACTAAAATAACACTGGAACTTTGCCTTCCTGTAAGACAGGTTTCCAGAAATACTCTAATGATGCCAGATGTAAACAGGTAAATTAGTGTTTGCACAACACTTGGAGACATAAATTGCTTGGTGTTTATTATTACCTTCCATCTCTTCATACTAGTTATATTTACATCGTTCGTTATTTTAGTTAAGAAAACTTTCTACATATTCATACTCTTGCTTTTAATCCTATTGATGCACTTTTCTTACCCTCTTCTTCCTACAGAATATTTACACGGTTAGCTTCCCCAAGCCAGGTTTTGTGGAACTGAAGCCTGTCTCCTTTGACGTGGGCACAGAAATCAACCTCTCCTTCAGCACCAAGAATGAGTCTGGGATCATCTTGTTTGGCACAAGTGTCACGGTTGTCCCCCCGAGGAGAAAGCGTCAGTACACTGGAAGGAAAGCTGCCCCTCCAAGGAGAAAGCGGAGACAGACTGGGCAGGTACGAGCAACCTAGCAAAAGTTAAAGAAAACCCAGAGTCTTACTGAACTACTTCCACTTTGTTTGTTTCAATACACTGACAGATATCTATACTTACATTAAATTTCAGTACTTGGGAATAAATTAGTTCTAATGTTATCCTTTATCTGATGGAGAATTTGATAAGGGCTCAGAACTGGTTTTTTTGTATTGAAGTAACTGTTTCTCTTAAAGATTTGCAGTAAGGCGTCCATTGCTTGTTGCTAAACAACAGATTTATTTTTCTATCATATAGTTGCTTCCATGTTGGTTCTTTTAATCAAACCTAAATATTTGAGAATGCGGTTCCTCACTCCTTCTGAGGACTACTCATGCACTAGTAACGCTTAGATACATGTCTCATTCCTGTTCATACAGACATAAATGAGGATCATTGTGTTGCCCCAGAGACGACAAAAAAATCCAAACCAAAACAAACAAAAAAAACCCCACCAGCTGCTAAAAGCAGTGTGAGATAAGCGCCTTGTTTGGGATCACTGCTGTGGGTTATAAGACTTAAGAGTGTTCCAACCTCTCGTTCTCTCTCCTAAAATACAAATCTGCAGTATGATTCCTTTCTGAAGAGGAGGATCAGTCTGTTCTGAGGAAGTACCTACAGAGTCCAAGTGACTAACTGGTGAAAGTGTGACTGCTGTTAGAAATTATTCAAATCTTTAATTAATCAAGACCTCACAGACAGACATGCTACAAGAGAGAGAAACAGAACATTTTGGTGCTTTCTTTGTTCATAACTTCTGTGAAATGATATTTCATTGTTCTCCTTCCTGCCTGTTTTGGAAGAGAGCTCTCAGTGACCTGGAGGAGCACGCTCCGGGGACAACGCAGTATAATGGCTCGCCCGTGTTGCAGGGTAGAGGCTCCTTTATCATCACCCTGCACTTCAGGTCACAGAAGTGAGCATGACACTCATTGCTATAGTAACTGGAGGTTAGAACTGGAAATTTGCTACAACATGATATTCGTTGCTAGAGTAACTACTAGTGTGATTTGCCAGCCCTCCAAATGCAGAACTTGCCCTGAGATCAATGCTCCTCAGGACTTGATAGGTTTAAGACAGGCCTTGTAACAGCAAAAATCAGAAGACTTGTAGATTAGAAGTCTCCATCCTTCCCTGCAAACAGGCATGCTGAGAGTCAAAACTTTTGACGAGGCTTTCTAGCATAACCTGATTTTACCCATTACTCATTATAAAATGGCAAGAGTCTGAACACAGCAGCAGCAGCAGAATCTGAAACGACAGTATCTTGACTGTGGTGAGCAAAATAATAAAAACCAGTGTTAGAAAATAAAACATACACACTAATGTAAAACTGCGTGAAATAATTCCTTTCCAAATGCAACTTGCTGTCTAATACCAACGTATACCTTGCAGGCCTACTATGCAGTGTTCCTGAACAGAGGTCGACTAGAAGTGCATGTCTCCACTGGGATACGGGATCCCCACAGAATCACCATCAAACCGGAAGCTGGAGAGTTTCACGACGGCCGAGCACACTCCATCCGGATAGAAAGAGCTAAAGGGTAACAAATACCTAGAAGTGCTACCGACCACGCAACACAGCTAATTCAACAAAGTGGATGTGCCAATGTCTTTAGCAATCCATTCAAATGCTTCTGCTGAGGCAAAGAATTTAGTCTAATTCCAGCCTTATCCAGAAATTTTTAGAAGTTGGTTTCTGGCAGTGCTTACTTCTCTGCAGAGCTAGGTTTACATGCTTTCTTAGGCTCTCAGCCTGTTTTTCCAAAGACCTGCATTTGTCTGAATTGGCATCTTTAACCTTCTGGTACTTGGCAAATATATTTTATTAACCGAATCTGCGGGTAAGAGATAGTGCTGTGGTGGAGTAAATTGCCTTTTCAAGACGTGTAGAGAAAGACCATTTTCGAAGTGCATAAACAGCAATGGCACAGCAGCCTGCAGCCTGTTTCAGATGCCATATGCTGGTGTATATATATGGGGTTACAGTGGTGCCCAGCTAAATATTGTAAAAGAGTGAAGACACACACAGATAAACAGCAGCCGTGCTTATCACTGGGAAGCTATCACAGACCTTCTCAGACCACATTGTTTAAATTTAATTCACTTAAATTTCTTTGCCCTTTCTCAGACATTACGAAAAACGCTTATTACACTTCACTGTTCAGAAAGTGATTAGAAACGGCAGCACTCCGTGTGTAGGACTCAGGCAGTTAGTCTCACTTATGGCCTGGAATAGCCCTTTTTCCAAGGAGGGTTTGTTGTGGACATTTGGACATAGGAATGTGTAAATAATGTGCAGTGGATTAGTGCACTATGCACAATGTTCTGTTTTGTTTAAAAAAAAAATCAGGAAGGTGTGACATCCAACGTGCTACAAAATACAATTATCCAAGCATGCTGAACACTAGGCTTCATCCTCTTACCCCCCCCGCACTGTAGCCTTCTTGAGCAACAATTCCTGTCTGTCTGTCTAGTCCCAAGATGCCCTTCTGTCCTCTCTGTAATATGCTTTGCTTTGTCCCTTGTCAGTGTAATTCTCTGACTGAATTCTATTGTATCGTTTCATCATGTAAACAATGCCTTCAGACAATATCCCCCCAGTTTCAGTGTCTAGTTGAAGGTAAATCTGGAGGTTCTTTGGGATAAAAGTTATTTTGGAAATGGATGACTGCATTTTGTGAAACATTTTGTGTCACTGTGACAGAACACAAATATGCAGATGATAATAAGAAGCTCTAAACAACAAAGAAAGTTCTTTTATGCAGTGGTATATCAAGTAGAGTAACTTGACCTGTGAGAGTACATCAAGGCACAATTGCTGTACAATGCTATGCAGTGATGATGCTTGTTCTGCTTGAAAGCGTCTGTGTTTCCAAAGTAGCTCTGCTACTGAACAAATTGTCTGAACTTTGCAGTTTCTGGAAACTGAATTGGGTATGAAAATATATAAATTAAGATTAACCCCTCCTCTGCCTACATGAACTCAAGCTTTATTTGATTAAATATGAGGAACATCCTTTGAAAACTTTTCAGAGAGATAATTGTCCATATAATTATGAAGTATTTGCTTTCTCTTCCAAAATAATTACAGGATACTGTTGAAGACTAATGCACATCATTGTACGGTTCTGCTTGGAGCCAAAATGTTTACTCTGGTAATGGATAAAGATGATATGAAATATTGCATGCTGGTGAAAATTTTGACAGTCAGTAGCCATGGCTGACATGCAGCAGCACAAAGGATAACTCGAGTCTTGACAAGTCCGATTTTCCTACAC